AAATGCACCAAAGAATGTCAATTTCTAGGTACTGGAACAACTGCCTCTCAACAAATCGATACCAGCTGGAGTTACACCCTATCGCTTTTCACGAATACTGTAATTTACCAATCAATCTTATAAAACAGTCGACCGAAACAACAAAAATTATCCGTTAACATTTTCATACCCGAGCTATTTAGTAATCTCATTCCTCACTTGTTTCTTGATTAGAATATGCAATTCGCTAAACGGGCGTGTCTCTGTATTGAAAATATAATTAAAATTATTAACAAATATCGCTAGCCTATGATGAGGCAATCCTTGATTATTTTGATTATTGCTCACCCACCGGGCGAACGCATCAATTGTTTCATTAGGAAGTTGCTTTTGAGAGTCACTTGTGATTCGATTGCACAAATTCAATTACAGATATAGAATTTCAATTGAAAACGTAACCTGATGTGTAAATTCAATAATAATAATTTATTGTTGACCAGACATACGAGTAGATACTTTTCTAGGACAATATATTCTCTTAGTATAACATATAGTTGATATCAAATTATGAATACTCTAACCAGATACTTAATAAAAATTAATAACATCATCCATGATAATATGTAAAGAATTTTCACAATGAATGTTATTTAAAACGCGTTTTTCCTTACGGTAGCTTCATCAGTTACTAGTCCATCAAACTATTCTACAATATCTTTTATATAATAACACTGGCTAATGAGAAAATTTTTAGATACAACTACAACTACAATATTTCACATGTCTTCTAGGAAGACATGTGAAATATTGGCATTCAATGTCAAAACTTAATTAGATGAATGAATAATTCTGACCAAACAGGTAGATTTAGGAAAACACAAAATATTATTTCGAGAACAGTCAATATGTAAATCTGTTCAAAATCTGTTTTTCCGTTAATCAGCTGTCGCCCCCATACGAACGACAACTCTCAGAAGTTGAGAACTTGTGCGAACTAAGGACTAACGAGGTCTTATCTTTTAACGTGTGATTCCTAATACGGTTGCAGAATCATTCCAGCTTCAACCAGATGAATTCTTTCGAGAAAAATATCTGGTCGAGGCGGGAATCGAACCCACGGTCTTCCGATCGTGAGTCGGGCGCACTACCACCGCGGCTAATTCCACAACAAATATGTTAATCGATGACATTTTATGAGAAAAATTTCAATAATGGTGACTGAATAACTTCCTGTTGGTCCTTTAAATTTTTTTTGAATATTTGCGTTCTTTAATTTCCAGCGATTTTAGGAGGTTTAAGTATTGTCATATATTTTCTGTATGTAATATGTCGTAATCCATGTGGAAATCGTGGTTATTCTCTAGATGGAATTAGTTTTCTGTAGTTCAATACTTTTATTTAGTTCGTAATTTCACGTTTTAAAATTTCTTGAAATTTCTTCCATCGAACATTTTAGCATAATTCACATGTTACTTTATAGACCCACGATTCGTTATCTTCGTTTCTTTGTGGCAAAGGAGAACTTTAACATATCATATAAGACTGGTAAATTCTTGAGAAGGCATATAAAAAACAATAAGTCAAAAAGGGAAAAAGATAAAAAATCAGGAGTCTACGAGAATCTCCGAACATAAAAGAAGTTT